TGACGCGGTTATCATATTGACCAAGGTTTTACTTCACTTGAAGATGACACATTTAGGTGCCATCAGATTCAAGTTAAAGAGTGTGTGTCTGAAAGGGGTCTGAGTCTCAATCCAGAGTGGAAAAATTCTACTTTAGAGAGAGGTTTGTAGAAGGTCTTTGATGTCAATTATGGAATTGGTCAGTTTACCTTTTTTTAATTAGTTGTACCAAGTTAAGGTTTAATATTTTTACAGCACTTATATCTGAACACTCATACAAGCCACATTCACCCACAAAGCACTTTCTGAATAACATGTATGCACTGGAAGCTATTTCTTACCCAGTGCTACTTAGACACAATCTGTAGGAGCTGGGAATCAAACCACCAACTTTCTAATCATTAGAGAACCTGCTCTACCTTCTGAGCCACAGCCATCCTGATATAGAAAGATGCAGCTTTTTGCACCTACATGCTTAACTCTATAATGACAGGCAAAGTGTAACTGCCAACAAAAACGCGAGTTGTGTGTAATTGTCAGATGGATTCTGTGAGAGACTCAAAGATTTGGATTTGTATAGCAAAGTCAATACTTGATTTAGGTTTGATGAAATGCTACTGAACCCCAGACCTCATGCATTATGTGGTGGCCTTATTGCTCACCCTCAACCTGCCCCTCCAGTGGGGTATACAACAAACTGCAAGCAGCTGTGCGGTGTCTCTGTTCTGACTGGAGGGGAATTGTTAAACTAAGTATCTATTGTTGGTACGTCTTAAAAAAGCTGCATTCTAGTGTTTTTTTTCAGCCAAAATCTCACAAATGCCTCAAACCTTTTTTTTTTTTCCCTTTTTACTCAAATAGCTTTTACTGTCTGTTAAGACCCTGGATCCTTTGTAAAAGATGTCAAATGTGTCTATTCTGTATATACTGATGATGCACAAATTGCTTAAATATGAATGTGTTACTGTCCAAATATAGTTCTGCCTTACAGAATTGTTGCCTTTTATGAAACGCTGTTTTGCTAAAGGTCATAACACAAGCACATCTTTTGTTGGAAATGTAGTGAAGCTAAAATGTGAGTTGGGTGTCATTCAAATATTTGGAGGAAGAGTCACATATGAACAGTCACAAAGTGCATGTAACGAGCATGATTTATGGTGTTTACAGTTTACAGGTTTTTTTAAAATGTTTTCAGTTAAGTGTGGGTCCATGAACGGAAATCCGCACGGCGAATGACGATGTTTGAAAAAAGAAAAATGTTCAAAACAACATTCCAAATATGACTGACCAAAGTGTTGCTCAGTTATGTGTCGTTTCTTTCTTTTCAGAACAGAAAAAAGTGCACTTGTAGTTTAATTGTACAGTAAGTAAGTGTCGGTTTCTTATCAAAGAACGTCCTCCATTGTGCTGTTTGTTGCTTCTTAAATGGATACTGCAGAGGACACGGAGACCTGTGCTGTAAGATAATTAACACCCTGAAGGCCACCAAAAATAAAAAGTTCTCTGTGTCTTTTATGTCCACGTCCATTTTTAGGCACTGTGAAAAATAATGATTTAGCTTCACTCCGTCTATTGAAATGAACTGACCTCGTGTGGCTTGACTAATGGCCACAGGAGGAAATGGTACTTGAGAAAAAGATAAATAAAATCAAACTTTTCCTGTCTTGTTGCTCCTGTCCCAACCAGGTAAACTAGTTCTGATAATCTTCTCAGGATGAGACTGAGGCCTGAAATGTCCAAACGTTCTTCAAAAAAAAAAAAAAAAAAAAAGTCTTGTAATGTGAGGAGGTGTTATTGAGGTAACAGGTCACACTGTGTTGTTTTGTGAAGCATTCCTGCAGTGCTACATGCTAATAGTAAAAACATCTTCAGACTACTGCTGTCAAAAACATAATGTCTTAGACAAACCTTTGTAAGGAACTTTATTTTAGTGATAAACGTCCTTCTGATGTTCTTTGAACATTTCTTGAGAAGGCCGTGAGAACGTCATCAACACTGTGGGAGGATTTCCTGCTAGCTGGGAACTTGCAGTTGCCAGTATTACAAAATAACTGATTGACTGTGACTGATTAGCAAGCCAAAGACATCCTGAACAGCACGAGACAGCAAAAAAGTAAAAGATCTCCAACATGCAATATCAATAAGATAGTGCACTTTTTTAACATTTTGCATGGCTTGAACGATCCACGGTATTTAAGGCCAGAGGTTTCTGTGTGTGGCACGGAGTTAAATCATCACTCTTAACAGTTTGATAAAAATGCTAAACAGTGATGATGAATATGGTGAGCAAACAGACATTCTTGTACTCCTGAAATGTAAATTCTGCTTGAAATCATTTGTTTAGATGAGTGTCACCAAGTGAAGTTTAGCCCATGTCTAAGACTAGTGCAGTGCGCTATATGAAGCAGCGAGCATGCCTCTGCTCAGCAGTGGAGGACATTGTGCATATTTTGAAGCACTTAACCTTTGAAAGACTCAAATCTTGTAAGAGAAACAGAACTCTGTCCAGGATTCAGAGAACCATTAAGCTGGCTGCACAAAGACTACTGAAGGACGCTGGCTTTGACTTAAAAACAGACTTCAAAAAGAGAAAATTGAAACATTTTTGTGTCATTTTAGAATTCGGTCCAACATTTACAGCAAAGAGAGAATTTGAGATTCAGTAAAAAGAGACCTATGCTCATACATAGAGCTTTAAACATGGGTTGTCATCAAGGACTCTATATTTGCTTAGTTATAGAACACCCTTTCAGAAAGGACCTTCAGGTAGAGCAATCATTCATAGTTTGCAGTACATATTACCTGTGGTGTAGCACAGAGTTCAATTTTTTAGGCCTTTTTTTATTTTCTGTTTACATCTCTTTTTCCACTAGGAAAGATCACCGACTTCCATCAGGTGTTTTTCTTTACTGCTCCACAGACAACTGTGCAGCAATGCAGCAATGCACAGTTCAAACCACATCAAGTTCGCCGATGACACGACTGTGTCAGCATATGGAGGAGGTGCAGCAGATAACTGACTGGTGTAGAACCGAGAGAGATCACTGTCCACTTAACATCGGTGGATCCTCTGTGGAGGTCGTCAAGACCACCAAAGTCCTTGGTGCCCACCTGGCCGAGAACCACTCCTGGTCCCGCAACACCAGCTCCATAACTAAGAAGGCCCAACAGCGTCTCTACTTCCTGCGGAAGCTGAGAAAAGCCCATCTCCCTCCATGCATGCTCACCACGTTCTAGAGAGGGACTATCGAGAGCGTCCTAAGCAGCTGCATCACTGTCTGGTATGGTAACTGCACCGTATCCGATTGCAATACCCTACAACGAGCATTTGAGAAGATCATTTGAGCCTCTCTTCCCTTCATCACAGACAATTTTAGCACCCGCTCCATCTGCAAAGCCACAAGCATTGTGGAGGACCCCACACACCCCTCAAACACACTCTTCACCTTCTGGAAAGAGGTACCGGAGCATCCGGGCCCTCGCTGCCAGACTGCAGAACAGTTTATTCCCCCAAGACATCACACTCCTGAACACAGTGACAGGAATGACACCACACACTTCATACACATCACTACCAAGCACTTATCTGCAGAATCTCTCTCTCTCACACACACACACACACCTTCAGACACCAAGTTCTTTTTTGCACGTTTCCATTGCTCTTCCATATACCAGGATTGCAGTGATTGGTTTCACTAAGGTATACTTAAGAGCATCTCAAATAACCATTTTGAGTTTGCAGTTTAGACTTTACTCGCGTTTACACATAACCTGTTTATAGCACTAATGTTAAACGCATATGTGCCAGTTCACAGCTTTAATTTGTCAGGTTGAGGTCATTTTAGCTTCTATGAGGTCAATACTTACTATTAAAAAAAATCCCCATGTCTAATGTACACCCTTTAAATTCTTTACTATTCTTTTCACTCTTAGAGTTTGTATTCCTCTGGCATTAACCATCTGAACATCTTTTCTTCTCTGGTCTTGGTACTGCACTCTGTACTTCAATGCGGCACCAGCAATGTGGAAAAAAGAAACCAAAACACAGAGTGACTCTGTCTGAGTGGTATCAGACTAAGCACACAAAGGTATGTTAACAATCCACATATTTGGCTAGTACACAAGAATGTTGTGTGACATTCCTTACTTGGTTGTCAATCTAGGGCTAAATATAGGCCTATAAAACCTATACATGTATACATAATTCTGTGTATGTAAATATGTTACCTTTGAGACTTTGTGTATTCTGCCCTGACTAATATGTTGCAAATGTCTAGCTAACATAAAAAAATAAATTATTATTATTTTATTATTTATTTTCTTTATGACTCCACTCTTTAACCATTTATACACAGGGAACACTGACTCACCTATAGTTTGTGATTTAGCATTGATAAACTAAAGGAGCACTGATGGTGGCTTTAAACAGTCACATACGTCCATTAGTTGTGTCAGCTATAAAAAAAAAAAAAAAACAAAACACCCATATATTCATTCTGTGCCACTTATCCAGGCCCGGGTTGCGGGGGCAGTAGACCCTCTCCTCGGCCACCTCCTCCCACTCGTCCAGGGTGACCCCAAGCCAGCCAAAAGATACAGTCTCTCCAGCACTGCCTGAATATGACATCCCCTAAATACCTCACCTAGGAGGCCTTACAACAGCACCTTTTAATGCACAGAAATGTCGTCTCTATGCCAAAGTCCTCGTCAAGCTTCTCACCCTAACTAACACGGTAAGGTGAGACCATTTGTAAAATAAAAAACAAGTAAAAATCAAGCTCACTCTCAGTTCCAACAAAGTGAAATTTAATATCTACAGAAAATGTAGGAGAAACTAATTTCAGTCAGAGAGAGAGAAAAAAAAGCACACTTTCTCAGTAACATGACTTGAATATTTTGGTATTGTACTGGAGATCATTTCTAAATGAACTTTTTTCTTATCCTCATTTTAAAATGCAAAATTAATCTGAATTCTAGACAATTAAATTAACTTGTATTTACCATGTCCTCTTCTTCCTTGGAAAAAAAAAAATCACTTGATATTCTCTCCATGAACAGTATTTTTCAGTCTGCCCTTCTCTTTTGTGGCCTACAGGGGGCATACAGTGCACATTTTATGTTTATGAAAAGCTACAGCCTGGCAGTGAAATTCAAAATGTGCAAAACCACTCTCAGCATTTTTTTTTTTTAATAGGAGGAATCCTCAAAATGCTCTTTACAGTAATATTTCCAAAAGGAGATACAAACCTCAAATGTTCACCTGCATTTTTTGAAGCTATGATTGTTTATGCTCCCTCGCCTTAACGTGTATACGCTAAAGTATATACAAGAACTTCAAGACTGTCAAATCAGTAATAAAAACATGTAGAAGGCTTCATCAAGAATACAGGTACAGACAGTATACCCTCTCTGACCTTTAAACAGTTAATCATAGGGGGCTGTTTTTGCTTCACAAAATGTCAAAATAAATACCAGCCTTTACAAAATTAAATAGATTCTGAAGGCAAAAGAATACGTTCACAATGTCTCACAGGTTTAAAATGGCATTTGAACTAATTTGTATGTAAACTCAGGGAAAGAAGAAATGAAGCTTTCTGTACTCAACTTTTTAAAGATCTTTGTCATTTTGTTTCTAACCAGTTCATAGTCTATACAAGTAATATGCATTCAGCTGTAGAATAATATGTCGCACAACTTCAGGCTAATGATAAAGACCGTGTCACTGAAATCTAAAAAAAAAAAAAACTAAAACAAACAAAAACCTGACGGATTTTAAAAATTTAGAGATGTTACATCTTGCAGATAACATCCTAAGATTTCTAATGCCCTTTCAAATGAAACAAAAAAAGTTAATGCAATAACAAGCCCACGGATCAAACAGAAGAGGTGTAGCATTCTGATTGATCTGTTGGAGCTGGGACCCACTGGGGAATGTTCAACAAACTGCAAGGAGTGTTTGTGTTAACTCATATATCGCAACTTTTTCAACACCTGACTCTGCTCGATTTTTTCTCTCTACTCCCAACAGTGTCCGTACAGATGCTGCTGTGATTTTCTTGTACAAATACTGAGATCACAACATGGTTATCTCATTATTTTCACATTCTGTTTTTCATCGGTCCATCTATGCATCTATTTTCTGGAGCCCCAGCCTATCGCAGGGCAAACACAGAGAGACGGACAATTTTGTGTCACCAATCACCCTAACATGTACACCTTTAGACTGTGGGAGGAAGCCGGAAGCTTTGAACCCACCTGTAGGGTACTGGTGCTACTTTTTCATCCACCAAATTGACAATCACACTGACTATACACACACATAAAGTGTGTCCTACTTACAAGTTTGGCCATTCACAATAATGACATAATCAAGCAGTGATCTATACCTAATAGAAGACCAGCAAACTTGGCTAACGGTGGAGAAACTCTTTTGTCTACTGATGCTGTGAAATTAAATGGGACCTTCTGCAAAGCCCTGTTTTAAAAAGAAAATATACACCTTCCTAAAGAAAAACTGTGAGAAAACAGTCAAATAACACAGAAAAAAAGAAGCGTATATCAGACAATACTTCTCTGGTATATTGTTACTTTGAAAGTTGTTACAATGTTAAAGCCTGCTATGATCTGCACTGAGCATTACAACAGGAAACCTATTCATTACTAGTGAAACGTTCTGACATGGTGTGCGTCTGTGTGACCCAATAAAGGTAAGTACCACAAAGAAAACAAAAGAACTCAGCATGCAGTTAAAGGACTAGTGTCACGCGTAAGGCAGCTGAACATCTCGGTCGACTTCCCCGTTCAAAAGCTCTGCAAAGACGCTGCTCGACAAAGACGCTCATCAGAACAGAAGACAGAAGTGTTAATGAGCATTTGGTGTTTTTGGCAGTTTCTTCTGTTTTTAAGAGCCACAGCTGTACAGCAGAAGAAGAAAGCGGTGTTTGAGGAGAGCGCATGAGCTTTAAGATGAGGATGCTTAAGCGAAGCATGTATACTGCTTCCAACAACGTTTCCCCTTGCAGTCAATGACACGCTGGGACGATTTGGTAATTTAACACATGAGCAGCATTGATAACTTTGAGGAGATTTTGACAGGGCTGCTGGAGTGTCTCAATAGTTCCACTTGAAACATTTATCATCGAAATTTCTACTTTGAGGCTATGAGATATGTAACTTCATCGTGAACTTCTTTAAAACTGAAGCTCTTCTTTCTTGCTTTCCTCTGTCTCTCATAATCATCGTCATCAATAATATCAATTATCATGCACAGTTTGTCCCGATAACCTACACATTCAAAGTTCATTACCCGCCCCGCCCCTCAAACTTCAATACAACATGCCACAGGGTACAAAACAAAAAGAACACAAAAGGAAAAACAACAGAAATCATCACCTTGACAGGTAACATAGCTTATAATCAGTCTAAGGCAAAAAGACAAACTAAAGAACAAGTAGTGGGTTAGTGAATTTAGGAGCTTTCTGAAAAACACTTTTCATCCTCGTCCTCACCAGCCTTCGTCGTGGGAAACCCTCTGCACTCCTGCACGGCCTGATTTCCTGGCTGGCGTCTACATGGATTACTGACGTGGGGAACGTTACACCCTGAAGCTCTCTCCTTTGCCATCAATATGGCGCAGACGCAGATAAACATCAGTGCCAATGCCCTGCATAGACTGAATAGACAGAGAGCCACCGAGGTACTCCGCATAGGCCCTAGACGTGGGTAGGCCGAAGCCAAACCTGTACAACACACAGGCAACAGGTTTAAGGTGATTACGTGAAGTGACAGAATCACACCAGGCTGAAAGTGATTTACTGTAGGTGAAACATTAAGCTGCAGGTAAATACAGGCAGCCATCAGAGCTTTTACTGGCTCATAAAGAAGCCTACTGGAATCATCGAGACTGGATAAAATCAATACTCCTCTCTTATCTCTGACACAAACAGAAGTGCATCAGTAAAGAGCTTACCCATGCATAGGGTTAGACTGATTCCCACTGTTGGTGATGTTGTTGAAGAGGTTGCTCATGCGGGGATCCTGTGCACTCTCCTCAGCTGTGCTGAAGTGGTAGTCCATCACCTTGTCTATGATATTGTGAGGGATACCGCCGCCGCGATCCGAAATCCTGAATTAGAAAGAAATGGCAACAAAAACTTGTAACGATACCTTCTGTTACAGGAAGTCTCCCCTGCAGCAGTGAGGAGCGCACAGATTTGCAAAGGAAGTACAAATTATTGGTCCTACACATTAAAAGAAATCAACTGGGCTGGTTTGGGTATTTGGTCATCATGCCTGGACAGGTAAACCTGCTCAGAGGCTCAGGACACACCTGGATTACAATTCTGGCACTCACCTGATGACAAAATCTATGTCGTTATTAGCGATGGTGACAACCACATCGGGGAGATTGCATGGGGTGTCCAGATGGCTCTCCATGGTGGCCCTGAAGATGCAAATTGAAGATCGATGTGACAACTGTACTCCCATTTAATAACAATCCACTATGCAAAAAAATATATCTTTTTAATAATACTTTTATTTTTCTACAGTCTGTCAATCAGAGGAGGCAAGAGCAAGTATTCAGCTCATTTAATTGATTAACTGATGCAATCCACTTTTAAATTTAAGTTGTGTGCTAAAAAGCAGATGTGTAGTCTAAACTACATACTTTTTCAGGCTTTTGAGCGAACAGTGAAGATTCTGTTGCAAACCTGTTCTTCTTGTGCATAATACTAAATTAAATTGTGCCAGAGCCACTGTTGTGACACATGAAAATCTCAATTTTTCCAGGTGGATGACACACAATAATCTTTCTAAATGCTGGTCCAATAGCCCAGTAAAATTTTTTAAAAAGGACCTGTGTGCACACCGAGTTGGACTTGGCTTCTATGTCCAAGCTGAAATCAACAACATTCTCTACACTCGTTAAAAGCTACATCAAAAGAGCCAGTCATTTTCCAAATTGCACCCCTTCTCTCCCGCTGTTGCCCTGGAAACCATTAGCAACAGCTACACTGGTGCCAACATTAAGCCAGCTCCAGGGCTCACTCACACCAGTCAAACAGCACCAACTAAAATCTTCACTGCTCTCCCTCAATGATCCTTTATTGCCATCACATTATTGCTCATCTATTATTTTACTGATTCACATAATTTTTCACTGTCAGACAAAAAAAACCCAGCCAAATCATTCAATATAACTTTATTTAACATAAGCTGTTTTGAGGTCAGTGGACATCTCCGTGGGTGAGTGAGTGGTTAGTTTACCTCATGGCGTTCTTGAGGAGCTCTGGCAGGATGTAATCCAGAGGCAGAGGGATGAACGGGAAGCGAGCTGCTACGTGTCCGTTGATCCTCACCCTGGGCGAGTTACCGTACTGGTGCTCGCAGAGACCTCTATCAAACACCAAGAACATTTCTCATAATATTGAAGACTACAAGGTCAAAAATATATACAAATTCTCTGCCTCCACACAACGACTGAAATGAAACTGTTTCATGACACTTTTCTAAAAAATATTAATGACTTTTTTACCTGATTAAAAAAAAAGGAGGAGGAGCCACACGTAGTGTAGGGTGTTACCATGGACAAAGCACTAAGTAAACCTCACAGTTATGGGAAAGGTGTTAGTTTTGTCTGCGTGGGATCAGAAACCAAAGCAGTGGACCTTCTAATGCTGCTGGATTACAATTACAGTTCATACAGTTCATTAAATGGAAGTCCAATTTCATTCATACAAATGTTACACTGTAACAACAGAGAACACACTGTATCTCTGATTGTTTCTTTGCAAACTTCCTTTGAACTTGGTTAAAACAAGTCTATAAAAGGTCACTTGATTAGATTACCAAAGACAAACAAGAATGAGAGCCCATTCACAGCTCCACATGCCATTTCTGAAAGGTTATCTGATGAACTCTGGTTTGCCTCGGTCAGCACAGAGACAAAGTCACCGAAAGGTGAGATAAACTAAGCCGTACCAAACACTCACCTGGCAAAATCCACCCACTTCTCGATGATCTTTTTGGGTGAGAGACGTCTGCATATGATCCCAACAAAATCAGGCTGGAATGAACAAAAAAACAACAACAAAAAAAACAAACATTCTTTTTAGTCAAGTCTAAAAAGTATTTCACAAAATAACTAAATCCCCGCTGATTAATCAATACGGTTGGTTTAATTACACAATAGCGTTTACTTAAATAGCCAGCTGCCAAAACAAACATGACGGATTTTATGCTTCCTTGTAGCTGAAGGTAAACGCCATGAAACCAGCAACTTCTATTTGACAGGATCCTGTTGTCCCAACCAGAGATGGGCAGTAACGCGTTACTGTAATCTGATTACTTTTTTCAGGTAACGAATAAAGTAAGGGATTACTATTGCAAAAACGGTAATTAGATTACCGTTACTTTCCCGTAGGAACGCTGCGTTACTGCGTTACTAAAACCGTGATTTTTTTTGCGAGAATGTCGTGACAACAGCTGTGTGCAGATCAACAGTGGATCATATATCGAGTGTGGGAGAGAGTATGAGCGTGCAGCGTTTAAAGCGTGGAAGTACTGACCTTACTTTGAGTTTGATTCCATAAAAAGTGACAAAAACATTAGTGTCCGCTGTGCGTGGGAAGAAAACTTCTTTTTACAGCGAAAAAACCCCTAAAACAAGCACCGAGTGCGCAACGACGTAATGGGAAACTCACAGAGAAACTCGCGGATTCTTCAACTGACCGCGGCACACCTGCACCAGGGTAAACCTCCGCCTACCCCACTCCTGCTTTACAGGTGAAAATAGAGCAAAAGGACCGCTAGTCTTTGATGTTATTTATTTTCTGCTGTGTTTTACTTGCATCTATTTGAAAGAGTGAGTGTAAACACACACAAAAAAAAATTTATGTGCTGGAATGTGCAGAAAATAGGTTTAAATGTTAAACAAACTTCTTCCAGTCAGTGAATGTTGCATATAATTTAATTTTTGCTTGATGCATAAAGTTAAAAGATTAAAACTGATAAAACAAGTTTTAAAAAAGAGACTTTTCCATTTGATTACATTTTGTATGATGGATTATGCAGAAAAAGTAGAATTGGGCTGAAAGATCTATCGCTTTATCACCTATTCAGGTCGTAAATTGTGTTTTTAATAAGTAACTAAGTAATTATTTACTTTTGAAAATAAGTAATCAGTAAAGTAATGGGATTACTTTTTTGGGAAAGTAATCGGTAATTAGTTACTGATTACTTTTTCAAGTAACTTGACCAACACTGGTCCCAACCCAACATTAATCCCATGTTTGCAGAAAAGCTGGACAACTATCACCTTTCCCCTTAACAGTTACCGCATGATTTGCTCTGGGTAACCGTCACCGTTCAGAGGTTTTCAAATCCTTTGAATAACAGTTGCACGTACATTATCTTCATGAAGGGCGAGATGGTGCGTGGCCAGCATTCGTATTCCCAAACGAGAGCACAGCGTTGTATCCAGAAAGTTGCGGATGACCATCTCATCCTGTGACAGCAAATAAAAAAAAGCAACTGAAACTTCACAGTTGAAACTAACTTATCAACTCTAACAGCTTTTGGTGAATCACAGCAAATGTTTTATTTTAGCTCTACCTCCCATAAAGGTTCTGACATAAAGATGTGATTTAATGACCATTAGAAAAGTTTCCAGGTTTTTCCTGTGTAGCTGCAAATGCAAAGACCGCCCTCACTAACTTCTAATGCAGCCCCAGTAATTTAGTTCTGTAAGCAGGCCTGAAATATGACAAAAAGAGCCTCAAGGGTGACTCCCTGAAAGCTTTAAGGAGTGAAGAGTTAAAAGGCAGATCAGCAGCTTTCTTAAGAAAACACATCATTGTTAGCTGAGAAAGCCTTAAATAGTCTTTCCAAATAATAAAATAGTGTTTAATTAAACTGAATAACAAACAAACTGACATTAATAACCTAACCTGTGCAGACCGAGAGTAAGTTGTTTTAGTAAGGAGTCATTTCCAGCAAATGGCGAATCAGGTCAGTCTTAGTATCTCTGTACCTGGATGTGTCTGCGACACTCCCTGAAGCCCTGTGCCAGCATTGTGACCACATCCTTGTGGTCGTCCAGCAGCTGCCGCACTAGTTTGCAGAAACGAGCCTCCACGTCCTGATCCTTGATCTGCAAACAGAGATGCTTCACACTAAACCCGAGAAACCCGACGTTTAAAGAAACAGCCTGCTCTAAGAAGAGCCTTTTAATTATTTTGGATTTTATATTTATTCTGGCTTGAATGACTCAACGCTTCATGTTTACCTGCTGCACTGATAGAGTCAGCTTCAGTGCAGCAACGGCCTCATACTCAACACTTCTACTGCACAGAGATTTTTTTTTCTTCTTTCACAGAAACGCTGCTTCCATTTATGAAATTGTCCGTTTCTTTCACGACTAGAGCTTCACATTAACGGTTGTTTAAATCCATAAATGGTGTATTGAGAAATAAATAAAGAATGCACAGGACCAGTGACTGAGAATCAGTCGAGCAATTCTGTGCAAACCGCTGTCATTTGAAAGCCACCAATGAGAGAATTCAAATGTAAAAGCAAAGCAGGTTTCAGGCATACAGATAAAAGCCGGGTGAGCGTGACCTGCCTCTGTAGCACAGAGATGTTTTTAGACACTATGATTTCCCCTGAGAGCTATTGTAGTATAGGTGACTCCAACCCAGAGTCACATTATCTGATCCTTTGTCTCTGTAGTTTCCTCTTAAATCTAGGGACCTTTTATTTTTAGCTAACCTTGCGTCTGCCTCATCTCTTTAGAAATGTGTTTATACAAGAGAACAAGAGGAGTCTGAAAGTCTCAGCAAAGTGCAGTGTTTCAACGCTCCATAAAGAAGGCACATACCTTTATAGGCACTGAAATAGGTGTTGTTTTTTCTTAACCTGACAATGTTAGGGTTACTTATCAGATTTAAGTGTTTACATTAACACAGCCAGTTTGAAATTTCCAATCATACATGTGCGACACCCACTGAGCAACTGGGTGTACTCGTCTGCTTTGTCCAGACCTAAAAAGAACAGAACACAATGATCACTTTGCTACTGCATGCAGCAGTCAGTGAGACAGTTTGGCACTGATAACCCAGGAAATGCATTACATCTAGCAAGCAAGGATGACTGTGATGGAACACGTGTTATAGCCCTGACAGTACACAAATAAATACAAACAATAATCAGTGTCGTAGAAAAGCTACAAATCCTAAACTCGATAGCAGAGAAGAGTTATCCACTAACCTTCCCTCTACGACCTTTCAATGCCAAACAGAATGATTGGCGAGAAACAGATTTTTATTGACTTGAACAATGCATACGGCTAATGTTTCATTAGTTTTAATAACAGAGTCACGGCTTGTTTACTACTCAAATGAGCCAATCCTAAAGCGGCTGCGGGCAGATTCATCACACATCTCGACAGGAAAAAGGTTCACACTTCCTGTTTTTGCTCATGAGCAAACCCACTCCCTGAGAAATAAAACTTGAACTTGTGACCCGTGTTTGTGCGCGTGTGTGTTTACTGTTCGTGTTTGAGTGGGTCGGGCACTCACCTCTGGAAAGTCACTGAGCATGTGATAGGCTCTGATATACAGTTCATGCTGTGAGAAAAGAAGAGAGATGCGGGCTATGGTTAGACCGATTTCTCTGTGATCGTTCACTCAGCCAGAAAACATCACACCACAAGCACTGTCCCCCCTGACTGGGCCTCACTGTGTTACTGACAAGTCCACGTGAGGCTTACACGTGGCAACTTTCACCAAGCATCAGTGGGATGAGTTTTCTGTTACTTGCAGAGTTGAGCAATTTCTCTGAATCAGAATTCTGCATAAATGACTAGACTGGCTTATTAAAATCCATCTGATCATCTTGATGTGCAAAAGTTGGAGAGTTAAAATCAGTTCCAGCAATTATTTCACTTCTGATCAAAGAGCTAAACAGTGAAGGTACAGCCACTCCGACATCACAAGTAGTGGCACAGAAAAGGAGCTTTTGCTTTATGTAATCGACACAGAGCGGTTCCGTGATACCAGAAAAGGAAGGAATCTGGGTGAAAGTTCACCAGCAACGAGACATGCAGAGGCAGCGAAATACTCAAAGTGCTTGCAGGGGAATTAAAGGCTCAGCGGGAACAATGACAACAACAATTCTTTTGGTGTCAAAGAGTCTGTTATATCCAGACACATGCGTATTTTTCTCGTTAAGTTTTTGAGATCTATGTATAAAGGAGCTTTAAAGGGCCTCTGTCTGAAATGGCATCTGAAAAACTAAACAGCCCTGCAAGATCAGAATCCTGCTGATGTGGACAGTTTCTGCTGGAAGAAACATTTCCCATGAAAAATTAGGAAAGTAGAGAATGACAGCATAGTCATTAAGTATGAGTTATTGATATGACAGGCCTAAGTCATGTGTGAAATAACAGTATCAAAATTATTTACTGGACAAGGTGTGGCACTGATGTCGTTACAGTTAATCAAAAACAACCTTGCCTGCAAAAAGTTTGGAAGACTGTCAGAAACTTAAATAAAACAGTGTTTTCGATGTCATTTAAACCCTATTTATGATTTAAAAATAGTACAATGGCAAACATTACCAAATCTGAGAAATTGCATTGTTTCAAAATATTTTGCATTTGGTGCCAGAAAATCATTCCAAAGTAGTTGCGACAGCTGGCAGGAAAGTGGAAAGTGGCAGGAAAACAAACCACAATTAAGTGCCAAAAGGCTCCTCGAATGGCCACATGAGGTTGTTTCTGAAAGTGGATCAATCTCCATAGACTCCTGTGTTAAAATGACCAACTAAACAGCCCCGGAAAGCATCCAGAAAATAAAAGGTTTTGTGGGACTTTTTTCTGCTTCCTACATTTGGATACTGTTGAAGCTAACCATTAAGGGCACCGCAGCTTAGACTGACAGGTGTGCTGACACCTTACTGCCTGCGCTCACCTCTGCTAACTCAAATAAGTGAACTGAACCTCTCCACTGTGTTTGCAGTGTTGGTGCCTTCTGAAGTTTTTTTTTTTTTTAAATGACAAATAATAAGACAAGCTTTCTGATAATGACCATCCAGGCAGCCTGTGCTTCAGTTTTGTGTATTTGTCTGTTACTAAGCACCACTTATGTGTTTATAAGCATGTTTATGATGCATATTGCAAACCAAGCTTCAAAAAACAAAAAACAAAAAATCAGATGATAACTTAAAACCCCATCTTTGTCCAAATATGGGAACTTCCACCTAAAAATGTCAAATGTGCAATTTGTTGCGGTAATATGCAATGCTCTTCCTGAAAAACAACATCTGGGTGGCAGAAAACAAAACTTGCATTTATTGTTCAGCATTAATAGTACCCAGGACAGTTTTACCACAAACCTGAATACAAACATGTGCTTTCAAATCACAAGCTGCAGCTCCTGCGTCAGCCATTGATGCTCTTTATTTTAATAAAAAAAACAGAACGGTACAACATTCCTGGTATGACCCATCTTTACAGGATATGGATATCCCATAAAGAGTCTACAGGTTGTTTGATGTCACCATTATGTGTATAAATAAAACCCCTCCTTTCAGTTCTTGCAGTCGTATCTCAGCTTGGTATTGAACCATAAACCTGCTGTACCTCTTAATGCACAGCCATACCTCCCTGTCCACTCCCGTCAGAGTGGACAGGGAGCATCTTAAGAGCGCTTTCTGTCAAGACTTTCCTGCGCAGTATTGTTACCTTCTATTTATATAATCAGTTACAGGGCCCACTTCCTGTATAGCTCAGCAATCTGTAAACTGTATTTGGGTGTGTCTGGAGAGCTGTGCGCTTACCACTTGCAGAATCGTGGGGTTGCAGCCAATAATGAAGGGCAAACTACGGAAACCCTTGATGCGATGAGAGATTCGTACAGGCAGCTCCTTGTGGAGGTACTTGGCACTGCTCTGTGAGCGTAGAAACACACAGAAATAACAATGAAGAGTCTCAGAAGTCTCATTATTGTTACACTTTACAGAAATCCCAGCACGGCTGAAATATTTACCAAGATGTGGTGTCCATCAGCAGACTTCCCAGAATACAACAGGGTTGCTAAAGTCAGTCGAACAGAGGCCTAGGGAGAAAGCGGCACATAAAATTACACACACAATCATAACAGCAGGGTTGAGATTGTGTTTTAGTTTCAAGTGTGCAGCCGTAAAAACACACATGATTGTTATCCACATAAATGACTGGCTGCTTAGCCTGTGACAGATAAAGTCCTTCAGGCAGTTCATGCAGATTTTTAGCTGGGACACTGAAGGACACTCCATACTTGTCTTAGCTGTACACTCTGGTCCAGGTGACGAGCAGAGCTGAGTGTTCGCAAAACATAACAAAACATTTTCACTGCGGTATATAATTTATGTTCAGAAAGTCCATAATCTGGCCTTCCAAACTGCAGTAACTCAGAAAACTAAAGCATTACTTTGTGATTGTTTGATGGCGGTTAAGTCTACCCAGACACAGACGCAGAGACCTGGAGCTGTGAAAGCAGAAAAGAGCTGTCTTTATCCAATCACTACATTTCTAAAAAGTCACACATGTAAAAACATTAGCAACTTTTTTTTGTCTGTGAACTTATTTGCCTGGTCGTGAAAGAAAGGTTCCTGAGACTAAAAGCTCTGCGCACTTTGAAAAAACTGCAAAAGTGCTCGGAGCGAAACATCTAAAACTCAGCTTGTTATACGCTCGCTGCATGACTGTGTGTTTTATTTCCTCTCGTGAAGCCAAGCCTTCAAAAGCATGCACCGATGTCGAAGGCAGGATCTGGATGTACAAAAAAACAGCACTGCTATTTTGATGTGCTTGCAGCAACAATGATGCATTTGCTTAGTGTATTATTATGTTCTCATTTGGTCCATTTTGGTTCTGTAGATAATAGAAAGAACACATGAAACACTCCCTTCATATCTGCACACACAGAGCCTGAAGCAGAAAAACTGGTCTGCAGAGAAAGTTGATAAACAGCTTCGTGATACCTGTTATCACTGACTAGGCCTGTAGATTTTGTTGACTCAATTTGTTAAAACAAAGCCTTAAAACTGTTAAATCACAGTTCTGATAATTGTTTTAATTTAACAAAATGCATTAGAAAGAAAAGACAGTGGCTGCAGCAGACACCCTTCATTATTTTAAATGCAATTAAATGTTAGAACTTCGCTCTTCTCTACACACAGCCCACAATTAGCTATCCTGTCTGCTAACGCACTGCCAACAGAGAACCATGTTCAGCTCATTACAGCTTCAACATCACCTAGACATCGTTGTTGGACTTTCTTGTAAGAGTACGTTTGTTTTCAAGAATTATTTTCCATCTCTATATCGATTCGAATATAATCAGATTTAAAGAAAAAATTATCGATAGAAAGACAGGGAAGATATATATCTCTCAGATAAAGTCAGTGTCTGACAGTGATAGTTACAGAGGCTAAGATGGAGGTAAGTCACTGTGGTAAAGCAAGTCTAACATTTAATACTGTGCTCAGTCATCACTGACTAATGTATGTAAACTTGCCACATTATAAAACCTTACAACGGAGACACAACTCCACCAACCACAGGCATGTGCACTATAACAGTGCACATGCATGCATGCAATGTTACGGTGTGCTCCAGTACTTTATAGCACTCCAACTCTGCTCACCAGCTGGAGCAAGTCGTGGCATCAGCTCCAAAATGGATCTGAGGGTGCCACAGCGAGATGCCAGTAGCACAATCTGAGCTAGCTAGAAAGACAAGAACACTAAAGAAATGGTTCATGGTTTGGGATTGGATTTCCTGTTGAATCACTGCAGTAGCCTGATTAAATCAAACATACTACAGTGTGATAAAAAACATAAAAACTGTAGTAACTGTTAGAATAATGCATCTTTAAATTGCAGGTCCAGTCAATAACATTCATTCACACCCCACAGTAAGATGCAATTTGCAGGTGCACAAGTAAAAAGCATTGTGTAAATACAAGCAGAATGCACAGCTGTATGCCTGGTGATGGTCTACAGATCTGGGAACAGATCTCAAGTTAGAACCCAGGATAAATGGAGCCTAACAGGCACACCTAAGTCAAACAGGCATCAGTTTTATAAGCTCTAGCTGTGTTTACCCCAAAAGGACACTGACACTCCAGTGCTAAACCGACATGCACAAGTGGAGAATGTACAAGTGGAGAATGTACAAGTGGAAAAACACTACTCATTGCTCCAGGATCTAAATGTTAAGTAATGTCAGTGCAGTCCTAATCTTTACAGTAGGTCCACTGGGTCCTACACCCGCAGGTAGGACCCAGTGGAAACAACAATCTGCTGGATTGGTCATATTACATTATGTATACTGATGCAAACATTAAGCCATCGCATCGATATCACTGTACAAAACAATAACATTTGTCTAACGTAAAGTGAAAATGTTGTCGTTGGGTAGTGTTTTGTTTCAATATTTCAATTCCTTCCTCTTTTTTGCTGTAAGAGTACTTCTTATATTCACTCCAGTAAGTGAGTAAGTAAGTAAGTGAAAAAAACTGAAGAATGTGACCAAAAAAACAAAACAAAACTGAGCCAGGAGGAAGAAAAGCATCTATGCTATTTTTATTGGTAACAATAACAATAATAATAATACTAGTTAACATGGCGACATTCATTCAGGAGTTGTGTTTTCTTTCTTTTATTTTATTTCACTTTAAGGCAAAGTATTTTAGAGATTGGCAGAACAGATTGTTAGACTTGCTTCTCATTAACTGGGGCAACGTCAGCTCAGCTCCATCGCTGAAACTTTACACCATCAAGTCTCCTGTTACTGGACAATCGTCTTATGTCTATAGTGTAGCTAATATTACAATTTTGCGTTGGCACCTCGTCTGGTCCGGTAAACATCAGCGACAGCAAAGAACCGACGTTATAATTTGTCTAGAAGCTCAGCAGGCTGCAGATAAATTTACCCGGGCGTTGCGTTCAGGTCTTCGGTATGTCAGCCGCTTTACATTATTACTGAATTATTATTATTATTAAATAGACCATTATAATTCAATACACTATATGACTTAAAACAACAACAACAACAACAACAAAATAACAGAACAAAGCACGCTCTTTTCTTTTGCTAGAGGAATCTCCGAAATATTAAAGGAAAATTACAAATTACAACTACAGACACTGCAATGTAGGTGACAGCTTTATTCCTCTTATAGAAGGAATTCGTTTTTAAGCTTCTAACTGACAAAACATTAGTTCTGAAGGCTAAAGCACTGCTCTTTTAAGTAGCAGCATGTCACTGTTTTTCCACCTGCCCCTGAACGTAGCACAACCCAGCCGCAGCTAGCTACAGCTAGCTTAGTTACCCAAGAGTTCTGAGACCTTTTCAGGAGAAAAGACCGGGAACCCGTCACATTTATTACCTTTTCTGCAGAAGAATCTATTGCAGACTGGTTATAAAACGACGTGACAGTCTTCGACCGCTCTCGCGCCATCTCTGAATATCCCTGCATCGAGGACGTTGACCGAAATCTCTGGCTCCCCGTGCCTGCCAGCGGCGGTACTGTTTTGGTGGCGGGGGCCAGCAAGAAGGTGCCGAGCCTCGGCCTAGCTCTGCTGGCTGCGCCGCTCAGCATCTCAGCCGCTACACCCGCCAGGGCCAGACGCATCTGGAGATGAGCTGTGTGTGCGAACAGGGCTGCCCTGGGTCGCGTCGTACTAGAGCACAAAGGCACGTATCTCTGAATACAGTTGCGTTGAGGGTGCAGAGAGGGCTTTGTGCGCATTGGCCAGTGGGGAAGAGAGCTGGGGGAACGACATGACAGCTCAGCCAACCAGTCCACCAGAGGCGGAGCGAAGCAGCATCAACAACACCCCGGAGCCCAGAGTCTGCAAAGCCCCCCCCCCCCGCAATGTACTGTTTTGTACTGTACTGTACTGGAGGCAAAGCAGGAACAGCCGGTTGTCAAATTGCACCAGTCATAAGTTTTATTGGCCGACTTGAGGCTGAAGGGGACATTTTAACATGTATGTTACTTGTGAATCGTTTATGCAGGTAGAAACGAGCTCAGGACCATTAATTAGAATGCCTTTTGCTACTTAGGATTTTTCCTGTTTGTTGAAAAAAACAAAACGTGGTTCAGGGACCTGCAGTTAGTGTTTGCTGTGTGCCTGTTAAGAAGTGAAAAATGCAAATCCCACAAGTTTCACTTCCTGTTAAATAAATGTAAATAATGATAGAGAATGTCCCAATAATCCGCCCCAAGAACCACGGATTGAACCGCCCAGCCTCTTGCCTTTTACTGCCACCCAACACACTTTGAACCCAATCCTCATGGGGGATCCTGTATGTGGTGAGCCCACAGAAGACCCTGTCCCTTAAACTCCTTCCCCAGACCCGGCCCAAGAGTGCAACTCCAGTAACCCTAACCCCCTAACCCTAATCCAGAGTAAACAGGTCCCTTCATTTTTTTTTTAATCTTTCATGGTGCCCTCATCCAGGATTTGCCTTGGGAGACCCTACCAAAGGCAAAAGCCCCCTGACAACCCTGGGATCTTAGGATACATAGATCCCAGAAAATAGCTTCCTCCAAACGGTAGATCGCTTCTTCCTTAGAGATAGGGTGAGGAGTTAATAAGTAATTTGGGAGGGAGTCCCAAATGAGTTTTCCAGGAATGTCCTAACAGAAGGAGGGCCGAAAATAGGTGTCACAGGATAGGTGTTAGAAAATGAAATGATGAATAATAAAGAATGATGTGTCATCATTGTGTAGATTTTTTTCAAACCACTGGTGAGAGGGCACTTCTTAATACCTGCTATATTTCAATGTTAGGAAGATGACTAGGGCAGAAACACTGAAGGTGAAGAGAAAGACTCAGTCTTGTTTTGCACTCATATAGCCTTACATGAAGTGTGGTTGAATTAATACAAAAGTGCATTCTTTCTAAACTGTTAACAAAGGGACTCTGCTGACCTATGAAGACAAAACAGGACAAAAGTCTGAGGTAAAAGTTTGGACATCCTGCATGGTTGGATAACCTGCTCAGTAAAACTTGTTTGGGGAAGTTTTTTTTTTGTAGCAGCAAGTCTTTTGATTCTTGTGTAGAGAATTTACAGCCATCCCTGCCAAAGCCTTGGGTTCCCAGGAGTCTCAGAACACCTTTAGGAGATTTCCTATTATTGTTTAGGTTTGTGGACCGGGAGAGTCACGTTAAAACCTTCATCTTACACTTTCTGAGCAGGTCCATTGTAGATTTTTCATAGTTTTGGAACATTTTCTTCTTGAAGCATTCTTCTTTTCATCTTTGTCTTTTACAAATACTTCAATGTTTACTCCTGGAAATCATTTGTGTAATTGAATCCATTCTTCCTTGTAGCACCAAAGTACTCCCAGTAAAATAAGCTGAGTGGTTCTTTTCATCTAATTTTTGAACCCCTTTTCCAAACATATGATTCTGTAATGAAATCTTCTGTTTTTATTGTTTGTTTTTTAAGCATATACATTACTGGGCACAGTGGGTAGCAAGCACCCTTCAAGTAAATTCCTTCCAAAGAATGTAGTCTGTGTTTTCAGAGCTAAGGAAAAAACAATCATGCCAGCCACCAAGTGGTTAAAATGAGAATAGTCAATACCAGGTACAACAGAACAACCTGTTTACATCTTTGCTGTACTTCTTAAGAATTCAGACATTTGATTCAACAACAGAATACACTTAAAAGCCAAAAGCAGTTAGAAGCAAGCTAAAAACTTCTTTAATTAAATAGAAAAACAGTTCACTTTCTGCTTTAAAGCATAAAAACACAATAAGCACACCGACATGAGAAGTATTCAGAAAAGTAAATGTTTTCAGCAGTTTCACTCTTCAGTGTTATCTGATCATTAAAAAGTAGCACGGGAAAATAAAAGCCTCAATCATTCACATTCAAAAACTATACTTATCAACAAAGCATATATTTCAAAAAAAGAAACGAGCCGCAGACTCTGCCGGCTTAAATCTGAATGAACCAATTTAATGTGAAACATGAAGTTTGTTACAGTGAAAATGTGGATAAACCGTAGCCCTTAAAACATCCTGCAGACACTGAGCAGTCTTATTATGTGGAGTCACAATCTGCTGTGTGCTAGGACTACTTTTTCTGCAAAAACCAGGTCCTTACTGGTGGAAACAAGGGTGATGGAGGGGTGAGACCTTACCACAACACATCATTAAAGTTAGGAATAATTCTTTGACACGAACTCGTGACCGTTCTGACATTACACACAGATCTGCTAAAAAAAGTTTAACAAAGCTTTAACTAATTCAAGTTAAACTTAAACCAGCTAAATGGCTTTGTTAATGTTGGGCTCGCTTGTACTTTTACACTGAAGTAAACTTTGCACATCCAAACTGTGAAACTGTGCCAGGGAGTAGAAACAAGAAAACAAATTCAGTCATCAGCTGAATTTTGAAGTCCACGGTTGATTATTGTAACCATGTAGATCTAAATGGAGCCGTTTCTGTCCATTCTGGACAAATCAACGGATAATTCTGTCACAGTCAAAGTCACCTAGCTGTGATCGCCTATAACTCATAACAGCAGCAACTTTAAGTAAAAACAAAAACATCTGAAAATTACAGTTTTATGTTTAAACTCCACATAATACATTATTGTGTAAAAAAAGTAGCAGAGTTCTTTTGTTCTTCAGTCTGTGATGCTTTTAGATGCTGATGTAGCATCAACACTCGCAAATTATGAATGTGCACATTTTCAGTAATGGGGCACACTCAGATTCTTTATGGCTGTGCAGTCCATGGTTGCTCAGGGCGACTCCTCCCTCTTCCACACTATCACCATATTCTTGTCACTAAGGGCAACTAGATAGCGTAGCTCAGGGTCCATGGCTACGCTGTTGATGGAGGGGCCTTCTACCTTGCCGTGGCCGTTCTTAACTGGGGTCGGCCACTCCAACACCTGCCAAAAACAAACAACATGTTAGTGCTGAGTGGAGAGAAAAGCGAAATGCATCTGAAGTTTAGTCTCATTACACGCGGCCGACGTGAAGCTTCGGAAGTCTCAAATCACTAGTCTTTACATTTCATGTGCAGGCGGAAAGAGGCAAGCAAACTGAGCTCTCTTTAAAGAGTGAAGATGGAGAGTGACATTTATTTCATTGAAATATAGGTTTAAAATGTCTCCATCCTTTACGTTATCTTAATGGCCTGCACAGGCACTCCTGTGCACGATAATCCTGTGTTTATACGTGAGAGCTGGTCATTGTGTAATCTTCCAAAATGAAACAAAAATCAACTACACAGCTCAGATCTCTCATATTTATGGTGGTTGCACACATCTGTTATCAGAGATGCAGACAAAATCTGAGGAAATTATGCTGAAGCTAAAATAATACTTGAATGGCCCGTGTTTATCTATTGTAAGCTTCCTGTGTGCATTCCTGTGCACGTGTATTTCTCTAGGAACAACACAGTTAACTGCTTCTGCAAATTTAAATGTCTTGTGAGTGCGAGACAAAAAAACTCTCTCTTTACGGGACTTCATTGGATTCACACATGAAGGACAATGTTTCAGCCCAGTGCTGAGATCTGGGTATGTTGTGACATCACCAGAAATCCAGCTGGAAAACAAACAAGTGGGCGGATGAAGCTCCATGTGTTTTCACTTTTCAGAGCTAAGATTGTGAAACAACTTTAATAAGACATAAAAGTAAAAGAGAGCAAAAACAAGGACAACTAAGGAAAGTATAACTGATGATTAGGATAACGTTCACTAATCTGAGAGTTTGTTTTGTCTGACTGCAACTACCTCCCAGACTCATTTAATAGACTCATTTTTAGAAAAAAAAAAAGAACAAAAAAACAATCGATATTTCTCTAAACAAGAATCATAAGAGAAAGCTACTGTCTGAAATTACAGATACCTCAGTGGGCAGTATGGGTTTCCCAGTGTGGAAGCTGTTTTTCTGGAGGTTGGGGATGTGGTATGTCCATATCTTGCCTTTGTCATCACCGCACACCATGTAGGCTTGACCTAATGATAGGAATGAGAACACAGAAAAGTACACGTGGTGAGTATCTGTGATGTTCTTGGTCTAAGCACTAAAGTAGTTTTTCACAAGTTACTACCAGGAACCTTTAAATGACCTTTAAAGTCCTTCAGGTCATTAGCTGTCTGCATTTCAAGATCTTCTAAATTAGTTCACAGCATAGAGTGATTGAGTTACATCAGCTGTCCTCTCTGTTGTTTCAGAGCTGCAGGTCTGAGTGTGTGGCTTCAGTGGAGGTGTGCACTCATCTATTTGTGCTTTAGAATGTTTTATTTATCTGATTCACCACAATCTGGAGGGTTAAAATCATAACCCTGGAACGTAATTTAGATTGTAAAGTGAAAACATCCAGTTCTACAGTAAAGCCGACAGTCAGGGCAACTATGGAGTGGCTTCAGACCCAGTCTGGACTGTCCTTTTGTGTCCCAGCTCCCAAAATATCTGTGGTGACCGGAAGATGGCAGTTAATGAGCTTACTGCCCTTGTCTACACTGATGATGACCTGAAATAACGACTGAATGTTAAATGCATCAGAACTGACGAGATGAGGTGAACTTACCAGGACAGGTGTTGAGAGCCAGGTAGGGAATCTGAGTGTTGGTCCACTGCAGCTCAGCCAGAACCACAGCACACACTGCTTTGCTCTTCTTGTCAGGCCGCTGAACCTTGGTCCTGCTCCAGCTCCACAGGTAAATGCAACCATACAGGTAGTTCTTGGATGCTATCATAATTGACCGAGCGCGCA